AAGAAACAAAACTCAAGAACTTTATATGTTTCAGAAGTTGCAAAATAAGTACCTCCACTGAGCGGAGGAGCTTGAGAGCATCAAAAGTGGTATTGGCTACGATCGTTGAAGAAGCTATATCGAATAGTATACTCATCTGATGCTCAAATGAATCTGGCTAGGTGTATTGTTAATACAACAAAGCAAGAAATGTTTTTAGCTTCTTGATTCTGAATTAGTACAGCTATATTCGAACGGATTAAAACTAAAGGGGATTACAATCTACCTGTGTTGTTCGTGCCATCATAGTAACCATTCCCTATCCGCGCTAACATTTGCAAGAAGTAATGGTTGCAAAATGAACCTGTGGAATTGTTTATAATCAAGATTTTGATATTATATATTATGAGAGAGTAAGCAAGAAAAAGCAGAGTATTCATTTTTACTTACCAATACCAAAGGTAGATATTCGAGGAGAAATCGATTTTCCCTTTTTGCTACAACATTCTTTCATAGCATTACATATCTCTCTCTCGTTTTCAACAGATCCATCAGTGACAAGATACACAAGAGGAACTCCAATATTGCTTCCTTCAAGCAGTTTCATTGCCTAAACACACATAAAAGAGTCTGAGAAGTCTTGACTTATGTGTTGATAAAAATATCAGATAGTAATAGAGATATCTAGAGGAAGGACCTGTTTGAGGGGAAGTAACATGTTTGTTCCACCATTTGCAATCAAATTACTATCAAGCCATTCAGTCACAGCAGAGATAGTTTCATCTGTTGCAAACTCCATTGAAGTTGAGAACTCGAGAATCTCATCGTTGAAGGCGATTATGTCGAAAACATCTTCAGCTTGTAGCTTACCCAAACACTCTAACAAGGCTTTCTTCACATCCTCTAGCGGCTTCCATTTCATGCTTGCACTTATGTCAATCACAAACACAACTCTTCGTTTGAAAAGCTGCAGATAACAACAACATTGAATTGATCATGTGATAGTTCAGCAGAAGATTCATAATAGTTGCAGTAAGAACAAACCTGCTTATGCTTGGTGGTTCCAGGGAAAAGGTACAAACAGAACGTTCCTCTGTCATCTGAATCCCATGGAGATGGAGACTTAACCAAAACATTACCACTCATATCACCAGAGGAAACCTGTTAAACGAAAAACAAAGCTCCATCTAAGGATCAAGAAGAAGAATACAAAAATCCCTCAGAGAATCAAGAAACCTCACATTGAATGAAACACTAAAATCAGTCCTTGACCAAGATGATACTTCAGCTTCATACTCACAACTTAATTTACCAGCTTCACGGTGAATCACCTGAGAAAGATCATCACACATCACTCAATCCACACAGTACCAATCTGAAAATAAACTGTTAACACGCAATTAAAATACCTTTAGAGGATGGCTTGTATAATCACAAGCTACTTCGCCGCCACTAACACAAGAGTTCATGTTCAACACAATCTTCTCTCGTTTAATAATCTCTTTGCCAACAGGAACCACATAAGCAGGGAATCTAAAAGGCACAATGAGATGAAACTTGCCGTCTCTGTAAATCAATTTCTGAGACCAATTCACATTAACCGTAAAGATCGATCCTCCATCAACCTAATAAATTATCAACAACTTATTTTTACCATTATTGATATAATATCAAAATCCCGAAGAAAATAGCTATAAAAAGTGAGACAAAGAACAAACATGTGGGATCTTGAAAGTATAGATATGGGACTTGAAGAAACGAGAATCTTTGTCTTTATGAACGTTTTCAAAGTCAGAAGTTTCGTCTTCGGTAACTAGTTTGGTCTTGTAAGATTTCTCATTGCTCAAAACATCAATCTCAGCACCTAGAAGTGAGCCCTGTTTACACACACAAATGTGTTTCAGTTATCCCCCAAAAAAATAAAAATATCTGGAACAATGCTATTAATGGAAAGATAGATAAAAGTAGTCTTTTCTTCTTGTTTGTCGTTTTGCTGTAATGAAATTACCTTCTCACCCATGGGAACACCGACGCAGCAGTCAAAGCGTTTGCTAGGCATAACACAGTGAACTCTCCACCGTCCAGTGACGGTGACGAACGCCGTGTCTAGCCAACAGTCCACTCTCATCTCAACTCCGAGCATCTGGAGCGGGACGAGCGCCGAAGGATCGCAACGTGCGTGAACGTACGGCTGGTAGCTAGGAACGTCGGGGTTATCAACAGCCACCGGATCTGTGATTGAAGCGTAAGCCGTGATAGCTGTCGGAAGAAAATTCTCCGGGGAAGAAGGAGGATCCGGGACAACAGGAGGAGTGATGCCTTTGCCGTAGTATATCCTTCTTGAGAGCTTGAGACCTTGTTCAACTCGTATTGCGAACTCTTCCGACATTTTTTTTTTTTTGTTTGTTTGGTCTCCGGCGATGATGAGACTGAGATGGGAAGGAGGAGGTGAAAGCTGAGAGATTTATCAGGTCCGTGTTTAAAGGGGGATTTAAAAATCGGCCGGTGAAAGGAACGGCGAGAAAAAGATTTTAATTAAGTGGGATTGTGTTACCCAATGGCTTCAATACACGTGTAAAGCATCCCTACCGCCACGACAGTCACGGATTTTTTAATTTTATTACATAAAGTATTTAATTATATACTATATAGAGATTAATTGTTTTAATTTGGTTCGTTATGGAATACTTAGAGATTCTTTTCTTTTTTTTCTCCAACATATAGTATAAAATAGTTTTAACTTTATACTCAATAATAGTATTCAACTTTAAACACAATAATAGTTTTTGTTGTGGAAAAAACAAAGAATAGCTAACATTATTTGGATGTATGTTTTTTTTTGTCAATTTTGAGTTGGAAGTTGAATGTAAGTTTTAGCTTCACAATTACATTTTCGACAAACTAAGATGACAAAAAGGTTTACTTTGTGGTTTCATTCAATTTTTACTAAATAGAATGTGTTTCTGATATTAAAAAAAAAAAAAAAGTCTGTTAACACATGTGCATTGTTGAATATTAAAGAATTTTAGTGTTCTGTGCTGGAAAAATAAAAGACTGTTTCAACCATTTTATTGTTTAAGAATTCAGTCTTTCAAATCAAGAAAAAAAAAGAAAGAAGCAAACCAACAGTAGTTTTATGAACATTACTATCAATTGCTCTTCATTGATTATGATTCCTCCTCTGTCAGTATAACTCAACCACTTTTTTCTTATCTTATTTTTCTACTTCTCAATCAAATCAAAGTGGTTTGAATACTGTAGTATTTTGTACATTGATGTTTCAAATCAAGTGGTTTGAATACATATCTATCTTTTTTACTCCCAACATTTTAATTCTTTAATAAACAGTATGATTAATGTTCAATTAGTATATGTTACTTTTATAATAAACCAAAAAACTTTTTTCATTCCACGATTTTTAGTTTCAAATCTTGCTTAATAATTCCATCATCTTTTTAAGAAAAATTACGAATTTGTAAGTTTATAAAAAAAAAAAAACGTTTGGCACGTTAGTCACTCCTAAAAATGGCAAAAAAATATCCCACTACCAATAGATCTTAATTATTTTGTTTTTCAGTTTTATGTTTTCCAATGTAGAATTTACATATAGGAAAGATGTAGATTCTATATACGTATACGTATTAGTGTGGAGTTGGCTTTTGGATGTTTCGGCTACCACACCAAAATTATCTATAAACTTTTATTCTATGTATAAGAAATTGATTGTGTATATATCATTTGACTACTACGTACATATATCACTTTATTTCGATAAATGAATAATGTAAGAAGAAAAAAACAGCTCTACAGAAATCTCCGGCTCCACGTTGAGACCGGACCACGATCGATTACTCTCAAACGTATAAATTCGACGAACCATATCACTAGACATGTAGGCCATGTAACCATTAAATTACAATTATTACATACAAAAAACAAATCAACTTTATATCGATTTTATTCGTATATTCTGATTTCTAGCTGCCTGTGAGTAAATTATATGGGATGCCTAAAAGAAATACTACGAACATATGGTTATTATTACTCGTTACTCGTTAGCGTATACTATAATATATATATCTTTGTTAGTGATCATTTAATTGTCACATTACTACTAATCAAAAGTATTGGTACAAAATAGATTCGTTAAAAATACAAGTAAGTAATTGATAATTAGCTGAGTAAAAGCTGATTTTAACGGATTGTTGTCTGCCATGCTTTCCATTTAGTAATGCGAATTAATTAAAATTGGGCAAAACTTTTTTAATTACTCAATATTTTTTTTAGGTTTTGGTCCACTAAAGATTTGAGAGACAACCCTACCTTATTTATAAAATAATGAAGTTGTAACCACTAACTTTTCGGCGTCGGGCCAACCATTCCATAACACTACTGCTGAGTGCTGCTGACATTTCATTTTATTTATTTATTTTCCTACGTTATGATATTATTATCAAATTTTGTTTTGTTATTTTCTTTCTGATATTCCAAGTCAATAAGTTATAATAACATTTTTATTTTCAACTATATGTGTCATCGATCGGAATAAAATAGACTTGAAGCAATCTTTGTTTATTTAAATCGTTTGTATATTGTCTTACTAATCACTTCCCTAATTGACAAGGTGAGTACAATCATTGGAAAACGACATGAATGTACGTGTCTGTCATGACCAACTCAATATAATTGTTTCGGAAAAAAAATAATATTACCTAATTTAAAAATGATTTATGCTTTTGTAAGTATTAATAATAAGTTTATATTCCCTCTAAAGTATCAACAATTAATGTTTTACAAGTATACTTTTTTTATTGCTAGTCTATGTTTATAGTTTGTTCGTGTTTTCATCTACAGCTTACGTATCATAATATCTGATTTTCTGAAATAAAAGAATATAAAGACACTATTTAGCAAAAAAAAGAAAGAATATAAAGACACTATATACTCGTATTTCGATATCAACACTAAGCAGATAATAGTAGTAGCTAACATATAAAACAACAACAACATATAATATTCTCTAATCTGGCTCTCAGAGGCTCACACTTTTAACTGGGCCTTTACCGTTTAAATGGGTCAAATTATCAGACCAAATTGAGGCCCGTAATACATATCAACTGGGACTTCAGTGTTTCCTTTCTCTTTACTACCATTCAAATGTTTAGGTTTCTGAATCTATAAACTGATACGTCTTTTTGTAGAAGCCAAAGAGATTGAGATGGGTGTTTAGGAGACTGAAACTGAGACAGCAGATTGCAACTTGTGGGCAAGAGACAAGGACTTTGAACGAAGCAACACAGGATCAGAGAAAGCATGCTGTGATTCTGTGAATGTAGCCATTGCCACGGCTGTTGCAGCTGAGGTTTTCTGGATGGCCGGTAACGCCTTCAAGAAGCGTTATCCTGATTTGGCTGCAATCAAAATTCAAAGTGCCTCCAGGGCTTACCTGGTCAGACACTCTCTACTTTAAAGCATCCTAGTTTCTGTTTTAAGCTGTCTTTCATGCAGTGTTTGATCTTGTGACTGATTACTAAACAGGCCAGGAAAGCGTTGCGGGCACTGATGGCACTCGTAAGGCTTCAAGAAATTGTCTGTGGCCGAGCTGTTAGGCGAAAGTTTTCTGCTTTATTGAAATCTTCACCCTCCAACAAAGCTTAAACATCAAGCATCATCAAGAGAACACACAGAGAGAAAGCATTGGTCCAACATAAGATCATTTGACAGACTTGGTAAAGTTGAACGGGACCATGACCTGCATATTATTTCATTAGCTAAAACAGACATGAGTAACATGTTCCTATCTCAGTCCAGGAATATCTGTGAAGTTTGAAACACAGACCATATTAATTCCAACTTGAATTGCAGCTCGGGCAGAAGCTGTGTAGTTTGTATGCCGTGGTGAGGAAATCTTATCAACTCTTTGCCAATCCGAAATGACAAAAACCTGCACATATCATAATAAAGTCCTTGACCTAAGAATCTACACATGCTCTAAAAAAAAGTTATAAACACGACTCTACAAAATACATTAAGAAAGAGCATTTATTCATTCAGAAAGACTACTGCCAGAAGACAGAGATATGAAGAGTACCAGATTTAGAAGACTTTGGCAGAAGGTGAGAACTAATAAGATCTAGAATACAGAATGTGTATGGAATTCCAGTGGCTCTGACTTCGACTGCAGTAGCTGCTCCAATCCTCTAAACCAGATCAGGATTCCTGTGAAGCTCATTAGAAAAGAGTTCAGCATTTAAAGTGGCACTCATGAGAATCAATCTCAGATCTGGACACCGTGGAAGAAGCTCTTTAACACTATAATTTAAGAAATCTGCAACCAAGAAGTGAGGGGATAAACAATTATGATACTTGATTTGCAGAAACCTAAACAAACATAGATATATAGAATACGTACCTTCGGTTAACTCCAGTTTCATCAAATAAAGCTTAAGCATATTGGCTAACCGTTTCACCAAGAGGTTCTTCTCAGCTGACACTCTTTCTGAAACTGCCATGGCAAAAAGAAAAACGATTCTTTAATAAAAAAATCTTTGATGAAAAGATAAGAGGAGCGAAGTAAAGGTGATGCAGTAATACCTGCCATCGGCATACTTCTCCTCTGAAGTACATTCTCCATAACATAACCATCAAGAAATGCATCCGAACTTTCATCCGGAAGTTCTTCTGATACATTAACCTTTTGGACTCCATAATACACAAAGGGCAGAACAATTTAGCTAACACAAAAGTTGGTACCCATCCACCTCCTTTCCAGGCTACACACGTACCTTCAAGAAACATTTCCAAACTTAGTGTACCAAACTATTAAAAATTATATGGTTAGTTAATTTCAAATTTCCTAAGTGTATCAAATCTTGAAACTTACAAGTTCCTTTCATAGGAAGCAGTGAGGATTTCTTTGGACATGAGCTCCAATCTATTACAAAACAACTTTGGCCATGCTGCAGCAATTCAAACAATCATCACTGTAAGGGATAATTAAGTTAGGATCTGATATCGTTAAACCATTAAGCTATAATAAGTCTGTACAATTAGGATCTGATACATTTACCTTTTGACCTCCATAGGACACAAAACGCAGCACAATTTAGCGAACACGAGAGTTTCTATCCATTCAACTCTTTTCCAGGCTCAACACAAACCTTCAAGAAACATTCCAAACTCAGTTTACCAAACTATAAAAATTATATGCTTATTTAATGTTCATTTTCCACTAAGTCTATCAAAGCTTGAAACTAACAAGTTCCTGTCATGGGAAGCAGTGACGATTTTGTTGGACTTTGAGCTCCAATATATCACAGAAACAACTTGTCTATGCTACAGCTATTCAAACAATGATTGCTGTAAGGGAGAATATATTAGGATATGATCTGATACAAAAATGCTAAAATAATTCAGTACATTTAGGATATGATACATATACCTTTTGGACTCCATAGAACAGAAAGGGCAGCGCGATTTAGCTAACACGGGAGTTGGTACCCCTATCACCTCCTTCCAGACTCCACACAAACCTTCAAGAAACATTCCAAACTCAGTTTACCAAACTATACAAAACATATGTTTAGTTAATTTAAAACAAAGCTTGAAACTTACAAGTTTTTGTCACGGGAAGCAGTGACGATTTTGTTGGACTTTGAGCTCCAATCTATTACAAAAACAACTTGGCTATGCTGGAGCGATTCAAACAATGATCAAACAATGATCACTTGGAAATATCTATTAAAAAAAGGAAAACCCTTTGATCAAAAAAAAAAAAAAAGGAAAACCCAAAAACGTTTTTTCCTTTTTCTTAAATCCACGCGCGTAACAAATATGGAAAAGTGGAAATTTTCCTTTTCTTATTATTAGTATTTTTTTAACTATGATTTTTCTATTTTTGCGTTTTATTATTTATTGGATGCCACTTAAATAATATGATGTATCATTTCTCTTGCAACTATGTAAAATCAAATTGTTTGACGGTAAATTTGGTATATTATTCTTGTAAATATTTAGCTTTTTTTTTTTTTTTTGCTTCTCTTATGGACTAAAAGCATATGTGTGTTTATGCTAGAACTTGGAAGTGTGTGTGTGTGTGGGGATGGCCCTTTCCCCTTCACTTCCGGAACTTTTTTTCTTCTTCTTCAGGCAGATTATTATTATGCATCCTATCCTAAGTCAAGTCACGTCAATGTCGACTTTTACATGTGTATTACGTGTAATATCTGTTTTTATTTTCTGTAAACTATTGTATTATGCATTCCAGACCTTTGGAGTTGACCTATTTTACATTACACTAAATAAAAATCGGCCAGACTTACTCCATGGAATACCCAAACTCTATGTTCTTTAATATCAATGTCGCTACTTCTTCGTCATTGAACCATAGAGAAACATTCCTAATTCTGTTATGTATATAAAATGTGGAAACCATATATATAATGTACTTATTATGAAATGCTGAAAAGCCACAATTTTCCGAAATCAAGGACACATCCACGACGAATCTGTCTCTCTTTAAAATTTTGAGTTAATGAACCTAAATACCAGTACATCAATCTATCATCCACGTGAAACACACTTTGAAGATTTCCCAACCGATGATGTGAACGCTTTTAGTGTGACGGCCGGCTTCATAATTGACATTTACAATTATATGTTAATGTTGTATATACTAATACTATTATATGTATGCTTTGCATTTGCATATAGGATTCTAAACTGGACTAAAGTTAACGTGAAAGATCTTACAGTTCATAAATTTAAAGACATGTTTTCTAGTATATATATGGACGCTAAGAATAAACAAATATATACCTAAATCATCAATCGTCTACGCTATGTTATAATGAAACACATTGGTGGCTTTATAGTTAGTAACTTAGTATTACAAATTACAATTACAATTCCAATGAACCTAACAATAAAAAAAAGCATATGCTACTACTCGTCATTTAGTAAACCTATACAATATTACGGAATTCTGCTTTTGTTTGTGTTATTATAAAAACTTAATTGTTATTATTATTATTATACATGACGATAAGAATAAAATTAAATTTTTTGTTTGTTTAACTTTGTTTTTGATGAATCACTTTTTATGTTCTCCTATAGGGCATTTTGGCTATTTCTATATATATTCAGTTGCTTCGCAATACATATTCGTCAATCTGTTGCTTTTCTTTTGTCAACGTCGATCTATATTGCTTCTTCTGTATCAAATGGAGTATAAAAAAAAAAATTAAAGTCTCAACCAAAAATAATAATAATAATCAAAGTGACAAGAAAATTATATATTTTTATAAACAAAAAGAATGCAAGTTGCTATTTCGTGATTGGCCAGAAGGGTTTATATTGGATCTATAGGGAATCGCCAACAAGGCATATCCCTTTCATTTAATTATTCCACGCAATCATTCAACTAAAAATTATGATTTATATACGTGGCCATGATATGTATCACACTATACCTTTTCATTATTTATAAAATAGAAAATAGCTTTTTAGTTGTTTTTTTCCCAAAACCCAAGCATTAGAACTTAATTTTATTTTGAAACTGAGAATTTAATGTAATGATCCATTTTGTGAGTTTTTAAAAGTCCAAATCAGGCAGTAAACTCTGTTTAAGTTAGAGTTAATGACATGTCTTTCTAATATCGAAATTCTATAGTAGTATAGTAATAAATTATTACTCCTTGGAATATATATTTGGTTCTTCAAAAAATCATAATTGTATCTAATCAAATAATTGGCAACTGTATTGTAGACACCGCATTTAACTATTGGCAAACAGAGATATATGTATATGAACCCAAAAAAAAAAAAAAAAAATTAAGCACAATTAACACGTACAATTATTAGAGATTTTGACTTGGTCGTATTAGAATAGCAAGTTTCACCTAATTTAATATACTTTCTTTCACAATCACAAACACTATATACTGTATCATTTTCAAAAATTGCAAAAACTAAAAACAAAGTTTGCTAAAATCGGAAAAATATTAAGATACATAAATGTTGTTATTTTGATACATAAGCAAAATGAATGCCGTGATTAACTATGGTGTTGCCGTGATTAATAAAATAATATTAAATATGTAGTTTAGGATTGGTGTCATAGACGACGTGGCGATGCCTGATTAGCTAAATAAGTCAAATGAAACCAAACCGAAACGGCTGAAAGTAAAAAAAATAATTGTTTTTTTTTGTGTGAATATGTTTGGAGAAAAGGTCGGTTTCTTCGCCAGCTGGCCTAGTTCCCAGATCGACGGTGAAGATTCAAAGTTGTCAGAAATTTTATTATCCGACGTGGCTTATAGTGTTTTTATTTCCTCTGTTAATTTTCCATAACCCTTTATAACACCAATCATTGCTTCTCCTTCGCCTGCACATTCTCTCTCTCTCTCTCTCATTCTCTCTTCATAATTCATATATTTCCCAATTCTTACCTTTTTTTTTTCCTTTCTGAAACGAGTTTTTGGTGAACTAAAAGGGTAAATTTTTCCTAATTTTGATATCAACAGAAGCCAGAAAAAAAAAAAAGAGACAGATTCTATATTTTGTGTGTGTTTTTTGTGTGATTAACTCTGTGTTTACAATGGTTTTGTTTTGTGAAATTTTTCTCGGAGAAGAAGGGAATTTAGAAGACGGAGAGTGGAAAAACGAGTTATAATCCGTAGCAAACATAAGAAACAAAAACAAAAAAAGTTTTTTTTTACTTTTTAAAAGTTTCTCCTCTGTTTCAGAAACAGAGACAAATCAAGAAGATCACTAGCAAAAACTTGCGTTGTCTTTCTCATCTCCTTCCACTGGTAAAGTTTCTCTTCTTGATCTGTTTCTAGTTTTGAGTTGAAGTTGGGATCGGTTTGTTGATTAAATTCTCTCAACAGGGTTTTGTTTTTTCAAAATCTAAGAAACCATGTCGGCGAGTGTACTAAGTGATCCAACAATGCTAATTTCAACACCAGAAGCAATCATCGTCTCGCCGGCGCCGGTGACACAGATATCCGGCGACGAGCCAGAGCCGGTGACGTGTGAGTGCTGCGGATTAACCGAGGAGTGCACACAGTCGTACACAGAGATGATCAAAGAGCGTTACATGGGTAAATGGATCTGTGGGCTCTGTTCGGAAGCAGTCAAGTACGAAGTCATAAGAACGAAACGATTCGTAACAACGGAAGAAGCTATGGCAAGACACATGAACATGTGTAACAAGTTCAAATCATCAAGCCCACCTCCTAACCCGACAGGGCATTTGATCTCTGCCATGAGACAGATCTTGAGAAGAAGCTTAGATTCGCCAAGAATGCTTAGATCCATGCCTAGTAGTCCTTCCAAAGACGACGACCAAGATCACCATGATTGTGTTACTTCTAATGTTTTGTCTAGGTCTGATAGCTGTTTCGCTAGTTTGACATAAACATAAGAAAAGCTCATCGTTGAATAATTAAACCGTCGGTTTAGGGACCCACCTGGATTAAATCCGGTTTTCAGATTTGTATAAATTTCGTCGGTAAACCAAAATCGGTCACTGTATGTGTTTTCTTTTTTTGCCGGATTTATTGTACCTTGTGGAAAAATTTTGGGCTTATACAACAACACTTGTTGATATGTTCCTTTCTCTTATTCTTTCACCAATTTGCTAATAACTTAAGAAAAGTTAAACAAGAACAAAATAAAAGAAAGATATGGTTTATACTATTCGATTAGAGTTATATGATTAAAAGAAGGAAAAGGAGATTCTTGGAGCAATTTATCATATAGAATAATGGAAGTGACATGTATGAACAAAAACAATCCAAGGTAGGGACGTTGCTTATCTCTGTGATGATTTCTCTATCACATAATGGAAATGAAAATGGTGCTTTTTTACGCCATTAATTAGACATCACTTTTATTTTAATTTATTTCCTTGCTTTTTTTCCTAGTTTATTTTCTAATCATTCTTCAAAAACGTTATTTTTTAAAATTCAAATGACTCTATATATTGTAACGCATGAATAAGTAACATGTACGTAGAAACGTTTAATTGGGATATGTTTACTCGATTAAAAACAAAAGATTAGATGGGTTGGTTGTCCAATATTCACTAACTCTCGATATATATAGTTTATAATAATTTGGAATATATTCTATTTCTGATAAAAACAAGAACTAGGAATCCTATTTGAGCATAATTGTAACGTGTAAGCACTCACAACTGGCTAAACTACATTGATTCGACGATTGATTCGATATTAAATTTCGACTACTTAACCAATAACATTTCCTTCAACTTGCTATGTATCTCCTTAGAATATAATCAAAGAGAAATTGTATCATGGAAGCTGGAAGTGTTCGTTTTAAGGGATCACATGCGAGATATAAGTATACGACATACACAATACAAGTTTCTATTTATGTGTATTGAAAGTTAACAATGAATTTATCCACAGCGAAAATTTAAACTCGAAGTTTCATTTTCTAGGTTCCTAGGTTAGAAATATCAATATGCATTTGTTGCGTATCGATCATATATATGCCACGGGTCAACTTACCACTCTTTTGCCTATTTTCAAATCAAGTCAATCGATGTGTTGTTCTACTTGCTAGAGAGAATTATCTTAGGAGTTTAGTCGTTTACTTTCGTTCTGTTGGAACATATGTAAGGTATGCTTTTCACTTATTATTAGATGACACTTTCTATTAATGTGGTGTGTGTGTTTGATATATAGAGCTCGAAACATGTATCTGACGTGACAAGCAATAGTCAAAGATAAAGAGAACTTGAAGTAATGGTTACAAGTTACAAGGCACAACAACAGGACAGGAGAGATGCGGCACGAGCAGATGTGGCAATTAGAGTTGTGCTGAACGCGAAAGCGTTTTCAAAAGATACAAAACCTAAATATGCACTAACATCACTTATAAAAAAGTAACAAGTTCGAGATGGTTCAAGTACGCAGAGCTAGCTAGTACTTGGGATTAAGAGTTGAATTCTATTAAAAGTGCATAGTTTTCAAATTATTTATATTTCTTAACATCCGGCAAATTTTATAGTTTGCAATTCTTTCTTACCTTAATATATAAATGGTAGTGCTCATAGACCATGAAGAAATATAGCAAACGTCCTACGGGCTCTGGACTTATAGCCAAGTACCAACACGCGTAAGTCATGTTATGCATGGCTAACGGATAGCCCTTAACCAACACGCGTATGGAAAAGAGAAATTACAGAGATTCACTGAAACGAGAACAACATTTATATAATAACGAGAATACAACTAGAAACACATAAATAGTATTAAATTGCAATACCGGAAACTAATCATAAACTTTCAATGAACTGCTCAATAAATAAAGAGATTTTGGATGGTACGTTTTTCGTGATGATACAAATTGATACACTCATAAAAGATTTCACTAGGTTATTTACGATTATACAAGACAATTAAAGAGATATGATGGTAAAGGAATCTGTGAAGAAAAAAGTCTTTCATTTTATGTTTTGTTTCAGTTTATTACAGAAGTTGGATTTGAGGCTTAGAGCTAATACGCAAAGTCGGGGATCATAAAAACGGACCGAAAGAACTTAGAGCTAATAAGGAGACAACGTGTGGCTTTAAACCTACATCTTGGAAGTCTTCATCACCGACTCACCGAGGGTAGTGTAGTACAAATATGTCACTAGTTACCAATTTATTTCTTTCGGCTAGCTCAGTTTGTTTTTGAGCATACTCTTCTTGGACGGTGCCACATTGCCACTCGAAGCGTAATGTTTTTTCAATCCCTGGTTTGCTGGTAGGAGAACGTTAACTTTTAAGAAATCAATACTTAGTTCTTTTAAGACACATCAAAATAGACTAGACGATATTTTTTCCAATTTTGTTAGACATTTTTCAGTTTTGTTAGATATATTAGTTTTACCATATAAGACGATATGATCGGTTCAATAGGGTTGAGCTAGTTCAATTCTATCGTTTCCAGTTTATATTTCTTGTAAATATTATGAATAACAGACAAATATAAGCTACTTTTTCTTATGAAAAAAAAAACATATATCTTTTTTGACTCCGCAAAAAATTAGTTCGAGCTTTATGTAGTATAAGAAAAATAAAGGACTCGATCGTGCGTGGCCCATATATAAATACGTCCACGAAAATGTGTGGCGGATAAGAGTCTCGCATTTATATTTCACATGCTAGCGCTTGCACCCTTTTTTTGTGTTTAAACTTTAATTTGAAAATTTACAAGAACAAAAATAAAACAATTTGAACACCAATGGTCTTTGCCATTGAAACTTATAGCTGTAACTGTAAGGAGAGTCGAAATGAAATATTATTCAAACGTGTCATGATATATTATTCAAAGAATCAAAGGTAACCCGTACGTTAATTGTCAAACTAGCTAGAGACAGCGTATGTGTTATACAAAAAATATATTGATATCCAGCTCTCTTTTTTTTTTGTCTGTGTTTTCAACTCATATTTTCATATTTTTATATATGTTTGACTTTGTTCCGCCTGTCTGCGGATTATAATTTCCTTGAAGTCGTATGGACTGAGTAGCATGGCTTTGTTTACGAAGCCGGAGACAAAGCCTTGAGAGTTAACCATTATAATATAATACGACCATGCTCCCGCTACATCCAACAGAATAATTGGTCACTGGGATTTCAATTATAATTTTAACGCGACTAGTTCAATATTGTTTTAGTTAATGCCGAATTCTTAGACTACCAAAAAACAAGTTACGTTGAAAAACTATTTCCATTTCCACTATATTTATTAGATCATCATAGGACATGTATATACTATCTAATTAGGTGTGAATTAATATGGCGTCCAAGACTAATAAGTTAATCTAGTCGTATACTTGTATAAGTTTAAAACCTTTTAACGAAGTTTCAAGAGGCGGCGCGTGGCCAACTTCCTCTACCAAAATGGTGGCTATGACGACCTTATTCTTATTCTCCTTCCTTGAATACTCTACAAAGAAAATATTATCCCTTCTTAAAAATTTGAACGTTGGTTAAGTTATACAGAATCTTAAAGTTCAACATTCGTTATAAACTATAAATTATGCATAGATATGTGTTTGCTTATGTGTTTTGTTAATCTCTTATTACAAGAATTAGATACCGTGCATGATTAGTTAAAATTAATAGGAGAAATTAATCAAAAGAAGAGAAGAGATCTAGGATTAACGAGCCAGCCAGCTATAGATGAAAACGAACTGAAGTTGAACTTTTGAAACGTCCTCTTGCATGCATGTATATATCATGTATGCCAGCTTAATTAGTTTTATAATTTATGAAGACGATCGGTACATGCATGACGAATATAACTTTTGATTTTGATAAGTGCTTGCGTGCGGACATGCATATCGACAGTTTGTGGATAATAAACCAAATTATAGCTTCGGATCAGAGAGAAATTTATGAAACAAATGGATGTTAAAAATTGAGTACATACACAGTAGTAATCTTAACTAAACGATGTATTAAACGCATGTTAAAAAATTCCGATATAAATGATTCTAAATAAGAAATATGAGCTCGATAATTATTTTATTTTCCACATGATAGTATATATGTCCGGGACATGTTCAACTTTCTTTGATGGAGCGCAAGATATCATATATAATTACCATTTCAGGTTACTTTTAGAATTATTTCGTTGTAATTATTTTATACAATAATATTTTCTCATGGAGTATATATAATAAATCCACAGTTTCATTAAAACGATCACAAACCGATCTTCAAAGTCCGATGCTCGAATTATTTTATTTACTTCACTTGTGTTGTGTGTTTTTTGTTTTTATATAAATATAAATAAAGTAAAGGGATATGTAAACTTTATTTGACGAGCCTTGCCTCCTTGGGATATATCAATCACCATTTCAGGAAAGACTAAGGACAATACTGTCATTTAATATTTATTAACTTCCTCCTTTGCTTCCTTTTAACCCTTTTTAAGACGCGTTCGTCTCTGACTCGGAACTCAGTTTGACTTAATTAGCGTATCATTTTTTTTGTTAAGCTTTTTTTTTTTAGTATAAATAAAAAATACACTTGCAACTTTTTTTTTTTTTGGGTTAAAAGTCCTTCTTTGCAACTGAAAAAAAAAACTTTTGTAAAATTTCTGTGATGCAAGTCATATTTTTTCGGAGGTGTCAATAATTCACTTTTTTTTTCCTTTTGTATTTAGTGAAAGTGTTGAAAGTTATCTAATGTTGAACATTGAAGTGTCCTTATTGTTCATAAAAAGAAAATCTAAGAACAAGTTTAGTTTTGAATAGTTATCTTCGTGTTTCAAATATTTTGTTACTAATAATAGACGAATAAAAATATGATTTGACGAAAGGAAAGAAGACAAGTAACTCGGAATATTCCAATTAAAAAAACGTGTGGACGGCGACAAAGCTCTCTTTCCTTTTGGTCTCTCTTATCAGTCGCATAATATAAATAGCTGTGACCTGCCGCTTCTTTAGTAATCAGAACGCACCAAATAAATAAAGAAGAAAAGCTCTCAAACTCATTCTTTGAAAGCCTTTCTTTATATATTTCTTTTTCTACCAGCTCATTCAACTAAACACTCAGCTTTATAGATTAGTTAGTTCTACTAATTAATTTCATTTGTTTAAAATGGCCTTAGCTAATGAGTTAATGGGTTCTCGTCTCATTTTCGAGAGATCGTCACTTCCGTTTCAACCGCGTTTCTCCACCAAGAAGAGGACACAGAGGACGCACTTCTCCATCAACCCTTTTGATCCGAGACCGATGAGAGCTGCTAACTCAGGTAGCATCGTGGCCGCCATCAGCGAGGATTTGGTTAAAACGCTGCGTATTAACACCGTCGGTAGGAAACAGGAGAAGGATGAAAATAAGGAGGAGGAGAAGACGGTCAAGTTTAAGGTGAGAGCTGTTGCGACGGTGAGGAACAAGAACAAAGAGGACTTTAAAGAAACTTTGGTTAAGCATTTGGATGCTTTTACTGATAAAATCGGTAGAAACGTCGTCTTGGAGCTTATTAGCACCCAAGTTGACCCAAGTAAGTCATTTAAAAAAAAAAAATGAAAAACAATTTTCATTTTTGAGTATTTTTTAAATCTTGTAAGGTCAAAGTTTGATTTTTTTTTGTTTTCTTGGACTAATTTACCCAAAAAAATTGTCAAACTTTGTAACAGAAACGAATGAGCCAAAGAAGAGTAAAGCCGCGGTATTGAAAGACTGGTCAAAGAAATCGAATTCAAAGGCGGAGAAAGTCCATTACACAGCGGAGTTCACGGTTGACTCCGCCTTTGGTTGTCCGGGAGCCATCACGGTGAGCAACAAACACCAAAAAGAGTTCTTCCTTGAGAGCATCACCATCGAAGGTTTCGCATGTGGCCCTGTTCACTTCCCCTGCAACTCTTGGGTCCAATCCCTAAAAGACCATCCATCCAAACGAATTTTCTTCACTAATCAGGTAACTAATTCAATCTTAATTAAAACGCATTAAATGTGATCGTAGATATCATCATATCATGGTGGGTCCAAATGTCCAAATATTGTCTTTAATTAAACAAATGTGACGTCCAACTATATATTGTTTGGATAAAAAAATTAACTGTTGTTTGAATTTTCCGCAGCCGTACTTGCCGAACGAGACACCTTCGGGTCTACAAAAATTAAGGGAGAAGGAGTTGGAGAGTCTAAGAGGAAATGGGAAAGGAGAGAGGAAACTATCAGACAGAATCTATGATTATGATGTCTACAACGACATTGGGAACCCAGACATATCTTCTGAACTATCCCGTCCCACATTTGGCGGTCGTAAGTTTCCTTACCCTAGACGCTGTCGAACCGGCCGGCCTTCTACAGACACGGATCTGATGTCCGAGAGACGGGTGGAGAAACCGTTACCGATGTATGTGCCAAGGGATGAGCAGTTCGAAGAGTCTAAGCAGAACACCTTTGCTGCGTGTAGACTCAAGGCTGTTTTACACAACCTTATACCTTCTTTAAAAGCTAGCATCTTGGCTGAGGACTTCGCTAACTTCGGTGAGATCGATAGTCTATACAAAGAAGGCTTACTTCTCAAGTTAGGGTTTGAAGATGATATGTTCAAGAAGTTCCCTTTGCCTAAGATCGTCACTACCCTCCAAAAATCTAGCGAAGGATTGCTTAGATACGACACTCCTAAAATAGTTTCAAGTAAGCACATTTTTAATTACTTCTGACAACTTTTTAATTATACGTCATTAACTCGTTTATCTACATGATACTACGAGGTTCGTAAGTTTAACACATGTGCAATCACATGCCGTTGAAGAACCAATCATTACCAATTTTTCACCTTTATTTTATGGTTTGCTATATAACCAACAGTGAAGTGAAGCTTCCCCTCTTAGATTCCCTTTGTTCAAGAAATATGATTCACGTGCTTAATTCGTTTGTTTATTTGTTCTTCCCACTAAACGTTAAATTTCGCTATAGTGGTGGTAGTTACAGTTAGTTTGGGGATAATTAATTAAAAGCGTGTTTTTGTTTTATGCTTACTTGAATCATGTAGTTTAAAGAAATTATCTAATGACTCTTTTTTTTACTTTAATATAGAGGATAAATACGCGTGGCTTAGAGATGACGAGTTCGCACGCCAAGCCTTAGCTGGGATCAACCCGGTCAACATAGAACGAGTCACGACTTACCCACCGGTCAGCAACCTTGACCACGAAATCTATGGACCTGGTCTTCACTCCGCTCTCACCGAAGACCACATCATCGGTCACCTTGACGGCTTATCCGTACAACAAGTACGTATATTTATATGATCTCAATAACTCTCACAACATTTACAAATATTTAAATTACTGATTTTAATCTTTCTTTTTAACTGAACTTTAGGCGGTGGAGACGAACCGTTTGTTTATGGTGGACTACCATGACATATACTTACCATTTCTAGACCAAATCAACGCGCTTGATGGACGTAAGGCTTACGCGACTAGAACCATAATGTTCTTGACCCGTCTCGGTACACTCAAGCCTATAGCCATTGAGCTTAGCCTTCCTCCACAATCAGGCTCAACCCGAAAGTCCAAGCGCGTGGTCACACCTCCTGTAGACGCAACCTCCAACTGGATGTGGCAGCTAGCCAAGGCCCACGTTGGGTCCAACGACGCTGGTGTCCACCAGCTTGTGAACCATTGGTTACGTACACATGCGTGTCTGGAGCCGTTTATATTAGCTGCTCATAGACAGTTGAGCGCAATGCATCCGATATTCAAGTTATTAGACCCTCACATGAGGTACACTTTAGAAATCAATGCCGTCGCACGACAAACTTTGATCAGTGCGGACGGTGTGATTGAACAATGCTTCACAGCTGGTCAATACGGTCTAGAGATTAGCTCCGCTGCTTATAAGAACAAATGGCGGTTCGATATGGAAGGTCTCCCTGCTGATCTCATCCGAAGGTAATGTCTCATTACTCTTGAAAATGCACTAAACTAATTGTTAAGTACCTCAATTTATAACATACTGTTACACTAAATGTCTAAATCTAACGAAACTCATAATACTGTAGAGGGTATAGTAATAAACTAATAATGGATATAATATAGTAGTACTAGTAAAATAGATATTTTATTGTCTGGTTAAATTTGGTTTTTTCCTATTTTGTTTTCATATAAAAATTGTTGTATAGAATCTAACTTTTTTTTTTTTTTTAATTATTAATTTTCAGGGGAATGGCTGTTCCTGATCCAACAGAACCACATGGTTTGAAATTACTTGTCGAAGACTACCCATACGCCAACGATGGTCTCTTATTATGGTCAGCAATCCAAACTTGGGTCCGAACCTACGTGGAACGTTATTACCCAAACTCGAACTTAATCCAAAACGATTCAGAGCTCCAAGCCTGGTACTCAGAATCTATCAACGTAGGCCACGCCGACCACCGCGACGCCGAGTGGTGGCCGAAGCTTTCCACCGTCGAAGACCTCGTCTCCATCATCACCACCATCGTCTGGCTCGCATCCGCACAACACGCCGCACTCAACTTCGGACAATACCCTTACGGTGGTTACGTCCCGAACCGGCCACCGTTGATGCGGCGGTTGATTCCCGACGAGTCAGACCCCGAGTTCGCGAGTTTTATGGAAGATCCTCAAAAGTATTTTTTCTCGTCGATGCCGAGTTTGTTACAGACGACGAAGTTTATGGCGGTGGTTGATACATTGTCTACGCATTCGCCAGATGAGGAGTATATCGGAGAGAGACAACAGCCGTCGATATGGACCGGAGATGCTGAGATCGTAGATGCGTTTTATGGATTCTCGGCGGAGATAGGACGAATAGAGAAGGAGATAGATAAGAGAAATAGTGATCCTAGCCGTAGGAACCGGTGTGGAGCCGGAGTTTTGCCGTATGAGTTGATGGCTCCTAGTTCTGAACCTGGTGTTACGTGTAGAGGTGTCCCTAATAGTGTTTCGATATAGAAATACTAAATTTTTAAGTCTAGCTTATTAAGTAAATAAATAGATTTTCGAAGCGAATAATCTGTAGGGTTTATTTGTTAATTAATAGTTGTAAATATATTTTCAAGAATTTAAGAGAACTTTATTATATTGAAAAATTGTGTGTAGACGACATAAATATATAAAGTTTTATTCATAAAATTCAACTCTAATCACATATGTGACTAAAATTGTGGCTAAGTTAAAATTGCCACAAAAAAAAAACCATTGTTATGTTTTTTCTTACACGAAATTTTTTATATGATCTTAAGAGATATATATTGTACTCACTCAACAGTAATTTTATACTGTGTCCCGTAAACTAATACCACATGATTTTGCCATTTTGGTAATCAAAACTTCAAAATAAATGATAATATAACACAGACAGTAATTTGGATTTCCAAACCAAACCAAACCAAAAGTTGGTTCACCTAAGGTTTGACGTTATTGAGGTTTCATCGTTTAATGTTGTTGGACCAATTTTATCAATGGCGAGCATTATCAGAAAACCGTTAAACTTGACGGCGGCCGTCCGGTTTCGACTTCCTCCGTTGTTTCCGTTCTCCGGAAGCTCTGGTTCCGTTAACTCGGATGCGACTCGTTGCTCTGAGATGATACCGGTGCCAAGTTTAGTAGAGGGATGCGATTACAAGCACTGGCTTGTACTCATGAAGCCTCCCAATGGATACCCACCTCGTGATCACATCGTCCAAGGCTTTGTCAGAACCCTAGCCATGGCTCTTGGGAGGTAACTAATACAAAAAAGAAATATAGTTTTAGCGATAAATTGCAATCAAAAAGCATAAAAATCGAAGCTTTTTGGTATATATGATTTTGAGGTTACTTTGTTTGTGTTGTGTGTGTAGCGAAGAAGAAGCGAAGAAATCGATATATTCTGTATCCACAAAGTACTACTATGCATTTGGCTGCAGGGTTCATGAACCTTTGACTAACAAGATCAGATGTATTATTACAATTTTAATCTCGTCTTCTTTCTTTGGACACTTTTTGTTCATTTATTCCTAGTTTTGTGGCAAATGCTGTAACTTGTGCTTGTATTTGATTGCAGCTCTGCCTGATGTCAGATGGGTTCTACCAGATTCTTTCATAGTTGATGGTGACAATCGATATGGAGGTTTGCTTTGCTGCTTAAGTTTTGTTTCTTTTCGTTGGCTCTGTTGCTTGTATGAATCTACAGATTCTGTGCTCATTCTCATATATCTCAAGATTTTTATTAACCTATATATCTCAAGATTTTTAAGATTCTGTGCTCATTCTCATATTGTTGGGTTTCTTTTGTGAACAAAAGGATGTTTAGCCTTTAAATTTAGTACCTGCAGCACTATTTTTTTCCTTCCCTTGGACATGTTTCGTTTTCTGCAGGAGAGCCATTTGTCGATGGAGAGGTTGTTCCATACGATGAGAAGTATCATGCGGACTGGCTACGAGATCAAACTGACGAGGATGCTAAGAATCGAGTAGTAAAAATAAAGCCTAGGAGGAAAAGAAAGAAAAAGGCGATCTAGTTGAAGATATTTGGTATTTGGAAGTCTTCTTGCTTCAGTGTGGCACTCAAGACTGAAGATTTTCTGGAATGACTTCTAGTGTTTACTTAATATGAGCTGTTGTAAAGAATCCAAGGTGTAATGGTAGTGATAAAAGGTTATTCAATATATCAATCAATCCAAGATATTGAGTAGATTCCACTTCATTGTCTAGCTACTGAACTTAGAAGCTAACAGGAATGTGTCTTCTAGTGACTGTAGAGATTTTATTGCATATATAGAATCATATGTTTCAGTGAATCATAGAACTTGAAATTACGTGATGATGTAAGCCAGTGCCAGTAGTTGATCTGTAATTTTTTACTGAGATATCATGGAAATTGGATAATCTAGTTTCGTTTAGCTCTTTTGCAGAATCACCACAGTTCTCTGTATTGCTTCAGTTGTCATTACTGTTAGGTATTGAAGTCTCCATAGAAATAGACTGATCCACCAAATGGCTACTTCTTATTGTTCGTTTGCCAATCAGGACCATATAGAAATTAGAGAAGACGAAAGCAACCACAGAAGAGTTTTCCTACACGTCTTTTTGAGTGGGGTTTGGTAAGATGAGAAGTCTTTCTTCATGACCAAGGTATGTAACTTAATCTTGTCTTCATATTAAACTAATTTGTCTGAATTTGGAGCATGCTTGCGTATGTACCCAGATTCTAAAACATTGACTAGGAACAACAAGCTTACCACTGAAATTCTTAGTTGGTGAACTACAGTCAATTTAGGATTTGATGTTGAGTCTTTGTGGTAGAAAAAAAACCAAGTAATACTGTCCCTTTTGAACACGCATACAATTCAGACTTATACATCTGAGGTTACAAAATTGAAAAATGACTGCTAAATATCTATTTAGCTCACTTTTTAAGCTATGTTTCTATCACAACATTTGCAGAATTTCATGAAACCTTATGGTATTTTCATTTATCTAACACAACCTTTTTGGTATTTTCCCTGTATACTAACGTATCCTAATATCTATACCTGTATAAAAATTAAATAATTTTGTATTTTGTTCACCAATTTAGTTGGCCGGGGTATACAAACTGGTTCCTAGACTCTTGTACAGAGCAGTGTCTGAATATACTGCACGAGACCTCATTGCCTTGTGTTTACGTCTGTTCTTTCGACCTGCTTGACGTCGTGGACAGACTTTTATCTCCTTCTCTGTTTCCTCTTTTACGACTTTGACATCATCTTTACATTTGATGTCATGAACTTCGTTTGAACCTGCCACTGGAACTATGTACACAAACGGTCCGTTTTGGATGTCTTTGAGGTCTAAGATAGGCTGTAGGGTCTTGACAGCAGTGGTCATAGTGGGTCGTGACTTAGGATTGTGGCTCAGGCATTGGTAAGTTAAAACCGCTACCTTCCTGATGCCTTCAACTGAGTATTTCCCTTCGAGACTCGGGTCTATGATCCGTTCAAGCTTGTTGGGATCCTTTAACATGGGCCTTGCCCATTCCACTAGGTTCCTCCCTCTCTTTGCCCGGTACTTCTCAACTGCGTTTCTAGCAGTTAGCATCTCTAAAAGCACCACCCCGAAACTGAACACGTCGCTCATTGTTGTCAAATGACCTGAAATGCAGCATGAAACATGTAAGCTAAGAATGCAACGGCTATGTGGTTTATAACAAGTATTCTTATCCTTATGTTGTTTAACCTGCTGAGATGTATTCCGGAGCTGCATAGCCTTCTGTGCCCATTACACTTTTGGTAAAGCTTGAGTCTCCTTCCTCTGATCCATCTGTGGCTAAGCCGAAATCTGAAAGCTTAGAGCTGAAGTCCTGTAAGTTTCAGATATGAGATTCAAGTTATTTGACATGATAATAGATAGTTGGTAATGCAAAATAAGAAGAGAAGCATTTGAATTACCGAGCTCAAGAGGATGTTGGAAGGCTTAAAATCTCTGTATATGACAGGTTTCTCTTGTTTGTGAAGGAACTCAAGGCCTTTCGCAGCACCAAGTAGAATCTTCACTCTTGTTAACCAAGGCAAGGCTCCACCATACTCTGCATTGCACCAAATAGTACTGATATTGTTAGTAATCTGTATCTCTATATCAATTATTTTTCAAGTCTTTTTTTTTTTCGATCTTTTAAGCGACTCACTTTGAAATAAATGTTCTTCCAGATTGCCTCGTTCCATGTATTCGTAGACAAGAAGCCTGTGATCATCCTCACAGCAGTACCCGACCAATCTCACCAGATGGGGATGCTTCAACTGACCAAGGATTATAACTTCAGCCTGCAGAATCCCAAAGAAACGTTTTTTTTTCTTTAGTTTTGATGATCCCATTCTGGTATGAGATGTAACATATAATACTTGAAATGTGATTTATGAATATGCAGATGGAGAAAAATCATTACCAACCACTCTCTATGTCCTTGTCCACCTTCTCGTTTCAAGGCCTTAACAGCAACAGGCTGAGCTTTCAAACCAGTCTTGAGGGTATCATCAACGAAACCTTTGTAGACTTCCCCGAATCCTCCTTCACCGAGGTAATTATACTTTGAGAAGCCTTGTGTGATCGTTTTGAGCTCTTCGTAGGAGAAGATGTGAATGTTTATGAGGAAAGAGTTTGAGAAGTCGTTGAGTGAGATGGTTGAATTGCTGAAATCCGACATGTAGACTTTGCTTGGAACAGAGGTTTGTCTGGAGAGCAGAAGAAGTCTTTCCTTTGATGGGTTTGTTGCAGTCTTCTGGTTTGTGTTACTGATGCAGCTTATGGGAAGACATATATTCTTCCAAGAAAATCTCATTGGTTTCATCTGCAACTGAAGGGAGCTCTCTGTGTTTTGTCTATACTATGTTTAATGGCTTGTATTAGTTTCTTGTTGCTGAATGAATATATATAGAGATTATGAAGCTTCTTTGAAAATTGTTAGAAAGTGAAGAGAGAGAGGTGAGAGAGAGGTGAAGACTCTTTAAAAAGTAAGTCTCTTAGTCTTATAAAGCCATCCAAGAGGGATGGCATTTGTTGCCACTAAGTATAATATCAAATGTTAATAATATACAAATGAGTAAGATTTTTCTTAAACTAACTCTTTCGTTATTTCTGCAATTTCACACTTTATGTTTTTATTTGGACACAAAACTCTATTTATGAAGTTGCATAAGATATTTTCCAAACTACCAAAAACAAAGTTTCTGTTTCTAAAATCATTCCAATTTTTAGCTTACTTTTTTTTTCCTATTTAATTTCAACCTAATGTTTTGGTTAGTTATATGCTAATTTAGACTAAATTTCTGAGAATAAATTAGCTAAGAGGTAACGCTGGCAAAACAAAAATAGTTGAAGAGGTATCTTTGGATCTAAAAACTTTGACTATCTCAAGCCATCTCATACTCTAATTTTTTGCTAATTGGACTACCTATCATACACTTGTAAGTTGTTAATGAATTGGTTATATTAAATGTATCATATATTCATTTTCATCTAGAAGAAGATGTTGCTTCTACTAAATATATTATGTTAGTTCTGTCAACAATAAGATTAATCTAGTTGGATTAACAAAATAATAAGAGGTTGGATTAATTTGTCTGTCATTGTGAAAGTTTGGAATGTAATCCAATACCTTTGGCCATTACCATTGACTTAAAACAATTGTCTCCTTTGTTTTCTCCGTTAGGCTGAGTTGTTAAAGAGAAAATATACAATCACTATTGTCAAATCTATTTGATTAGTATATATATAACAATTGTGGTTAATATATTCAGAAAATGATGAAATTTATAGTAATCTTTTTAGATACTGTCATGTACCATTTTTTTGTTTAACGATTAAGATCGAATTTATGCAAGTTTGCTTTTTATATAGAACTAAGAGAATTCCACTAAATTTTGCATAACTAATTAATGATTCCACAAAATCTTACTCGTGTATCGTGTGTCACACTTAAAAATAATAATGTTGCATGCGCAAGAAAATTATGTTGATTTATATTTTATTATTCGTGGATGAAATTCAAAATACTACGTGGTTAGCCGTATGAGATGGTGCACCAATCTATATATTTATATTTTTTTTTCAAAAAAAAAAAGAGTAGTTATTAATAATATACGAAGAGGAGGGAGATTTGCTTTTTTTTCGTTAAGGTCAATTTGTTCATTATCATTTAATTTACTTTTCAACATTTTAAAGCTTTTTGAGGGCGACATGGCAACAACTTTATGCCAAATATTTTAACCCTCTATTGAATAATTCGTTTCTTAATAACATACTTTTCGCTAACCTAGTCTCTCTTTTTTCTTTAATCCTATAAACTATAGTATCATATGAACATAAAGAGTAGTTTCGTAGAGTTTTTTTTTTTTTTTTTTTTTTTTTTTTTTTTTTTTTTTTTTTTTTTTGAGGAATCTGATTTTAAGGAGACTTGAAAGATATAATATAAAAGTTACGTAGCCTAATCTCATTGTATATTATGTATGCTCTTTAACAAACAAAAAAAGTTGGCTCAAACAAAGTCGCCTGTGGTGGTTGAGTTGTTTGGGGTTTTATGGATACAACTCGTGAGATTTGGAGTTCGATTCTACTTCAAACAATATGTTGCACGTATGGTCATTTGGATATATTATGCAAAGATGATATATGAAAAAACAGGTTCACTCCGAATTTAGTGAGACGTGACATATACACTGGTGGATGTTGAAAGAAAGAAAAAGGTTAGATTAACTAGACAAAGATGTGAACTGATAAGAACAGTCCGTTGACACATTTAGCACGTGAAGCAAATATCTTCAAATTCACAAACTACCTTATTATTGTTCATCAATTGCTTCTTTTTTTTTTTTTTGTCGACAATTCATCAATTGCTTCTAGAGGGGGTATAAGCAAAACTATGTAAATTATACTTTATATATGTTTAGTTTATACAGTGATGCAGATATGGTATGTATTTGTGAGATTTCAAAATGGAATTGAAAGTACTGAACCCCGAAGTGAACTAACTTGGTTGAAGTTTAACTAATTTGACTTGGAATTTTCAAGTCAAGACTTCATCATTGCAGATATATATATGTATTTGGATTTGAATGAGAATAATATGAATGAGATCATCAAACGCATTCCATTCAATCAAACCGGCTAGCTAGTAATCATAGAAAGTTAAGAAGAAAAAACACGATAGAATGGATGAAAGTATTCAAATACATATATGTCTTCAAATTAAGTGTGAAACTTATATGAGAAGGAACTAACGGTGTAATATATATAGATTTTCCAATGTAAAAATGCTTTTGACTGATTGACAAATACATTTTGACTTTTTAAATTAGTTTTTCCTTTTCTTACCTTACCATACGAAGAAAAATGTGTGAATATAAAAAAGATTTAAGAAACGAAAAAGAGAGAAATGTAGTCATGATTTCAGGTGTTTCAACATATATACAAGAATTTTGGATCCCAAAATTTTGAGTAAATTTGAAAAAAAATAAAAAATAAATAAATAAACATAAACATAAACATATAATAATATTTAGAAATTTCGAGGTTTTGTTTGTTTTGTGGCAGCCGCGGAGTGTAGCATTATTCCTCGACAGACAGAGGTTGCTTGCTTTTGACCTTGGTCCATTTTCGCATCGTTATTATATTAGAGAGCAAATATTAATCACGTGTATTCTCTTCTTTTCTTTCTTTTATATTAGTATATATACTTGAAATCGCAAGAATTAAACTCAAGAATTACTTAAGTCCCTTGTTACTAATAATAAAACACCAAGTCTTGTTCGGTTTTACTACGTATGCACACGTACAACTACAAGTGCCAAAATAATCTTCATTACACGTCTCATACACATTTTCAACGCCCACCTTAATTTCAAACTACTTCTAGTTTTTATATAATGGAAAAGTTAGAGAAAATCATAATCTAAATTAGACTGGCTAGATATTTAGGCTAGATATTTAATTCCACTAACTTCAGAAAAATGATATTTATAATCGACAAAAAAGTTGACAATAAAAATAAATTACAACAAAATGGGTCAAAAACAACTTAAGGTTTTGTAAAATGTTTTTAAGTAAAAACTCCTCTCAAGCGTGTTCTATATATTTTCCAAACACATAAAATCAAGAACTGCAACTGTTGAGACAATGACGGAGCACAACGACAAGAAGAACCAGAAGAAAACATTTGGTTGGTTTCTTCTCTATAAGAGAGCTTGGATGTCTATCTCCACGAAAGAGCATGGATCAGTTATGTCAAAGTTGTTCAAAACCTGTTCGAAACAAATAAAAATACAGAAAACGATCTGAAACATATAATAATCTGCAAACTTTCTGAATCGAACAAGGATAGATATAGGATTGTACCTGTGGATGCACGATCCCAAAGTTACCAATTTGTTTCCCTCGCACAACGATGCTAGCTTGCCTGCCTGGTAGAAACTCAGGCTCCTGTTGCAGAACGCAATAGAGAGAGATTGGGATTTTGAGTGAGTCGCTTATAAGAGAGACTATTAGATGGTCGAGGATTGAATGGAGAGCTTACTTGAGAGAGCTTTATATAGTATCCGGTATTGTCATTGACTGGTACAAATGGTATTGCCATCACTTCCATGATTCTATCGACTAGGCCATGGATAAGCTGAATCCAAAATTGTACAGCGAAAGCATATCAATTGATGACGTTTCATAAACTTGAGAAAGATAGGATATAATATAACGAAGATATTTTTGTCAACAAAGGAAATCCATACCTCAAATCCAGAAGTAGCACCACAATGTAGTGCAGCAAGATGGCGACGATTGGATGCACCAACGTCTTTGCTCTCATCCAACATGGCCACATCACTGATTTCATAAATCTTTGAACCAAAAGGAAAGAGTTTTGTCATTATAGCGCCACTTAAATCTCAATCTAGCTAATCAGTCACCAGAGATATGGGTTTACCTTAATTGGTTTAGGGTGGTCTTTGTTTGATCCAACAGTCTTCAATATTCCTGGCATGAGAGTCCTCCTCATGGCCTAATACCACATATAATGAAACAGTTTTTCGCAATTAGCAAAGCACTAACAGTTGAGAAGCTTACAAAGAGATAAGCATAGGACTCAAAGAGGAACCTCAAAGTCAGCAGACCGCGGGTTCTCAATTATTACGGCTGAGTTATCATCCTCTCTGTTTAGCAAAGCAAAGTTTTCCTTGCGGGAGCATAGTATCCAAGTTACCACCTCGGTGTACACATTCATCGCAATCTAAAATTCAGAAATATTTAGAGAACCTTTGTGAAAAAGAGAAACAAATGCTAAAAAGTTAACTTCACGTAAACCACAGATCACTGTGAGCTGATGGAAAAGCAAAATGGAGCATACCTCTATTCTGAGAAGATCAGTGAGCTCATTCAAAGGCAGTGGTTTTATCGAAGCAGGCGATCTTGTTGGGATGTTATTGAAACCATAGGCAATGGCTACATCCTGGTGAATATAAATAAACATTAAGTTATATAGAGAATCAAATAATGGCAGCAACACAGAATGGTTTGGATTGTGAAATATACCTCCATAACATCACAAGGATGGAGAACGTCACTCCTGCTGGGAGGTACATGCACTTTTATGGCACATTGGTTATCACTAGGTTCTGTTGGCTCAGCATGTAGCTGCATTCGGGTCAGCAGACTTGTAACCTGAAAGATATGAAGCCCATTTCACAGAAAAAATAATGATTAACAGCATTGCTGAGTAGAATTTAGAGACTTGTAACTGAAGGAAAACACACAGCAGAGAAGAATGCAAAGCCGGTCATAAAAATTCTAAGCTAAGAAAGTACAAGTCTGTTTTGTATTTTGCAGCAGATGCATAAAGATTTTAATGAACAAATTAGCTAGACAGAAGGAGATCTCCTTATAGAAATACCAAGGTTTACTTGCACTGCAGCCTCTAAAATGGACATCTCAAGAAAGAAACTGAGTG